TCTTAGTTCACTGCCCAGTTTGGACTGAGAAGCACTAGCCCACACTGCCTTTCCCTTTGGGTTGTCCTAAACTTTAGTAAACCAGTCATGGGCACAGTTTACCCATCCATACAATGGAGGGTCTAACAGGGAATCCCCTCAAGCTGCCCTGAACCCCCAACTGTCACCTTCTCCTTCCCCCATGTGCTTACTTCCATTTCCACATTGCCCTGTATGAAGATGACAATCAAATACAGTCTCCCTTGGGAGAGGCACAGGTTCTAGTCCGGTTGGGCACTTAGCTATGAGAGCTTGGGTAAGTCATGTGCCTCTTCTTTAGCTCTGTGGACGTTCTACACACATTCGTGATGTTCCTGTTTTTTCCTATTATTGAGATCTCATGTGAGCAGAGAGATGAGAGTCCTGGTCTCCCGGTGAGTTGCCGTGTAATTCTGGGAAGAATGCTTCCCCAATCTGGGCTCTGCCCCATTCTTCATGGCACATGTTCCCTGTCTGAACTGCTTTTAATCAGGACGCCGCCCCCCCCCCCCCCACCCCCCCAGTGACCTGTCATGCCAATTCCCACCTAGAAGGCAGCCCTTCTCAGGAACAGAATGAGCACAGAAACCAAGTTCTCCAGAAAGATGTGTGTATTGGGGGCAGGGGAGGACTTGCTCAGGTGCCCAGGATTTAGGGCTGTCAGGGGCACTTAAAATGCTCTATTAGACTCGCAGCGGCTACCAACTAGTGGTCTGCAGACCAGTGGTGGTCCGTGAGGTCCAAAAGGTTGGCGACTGCTGGCTTAAGGAAACCTTTGGAGCAGTGGCTGCCAACCAGTTAATAAGGATCCCTCAGCCCAGAGGGACTCAGAGAGGGGGCTGCTTCTGGCTGGCTATTGTGTCCTGAAAAGAAAGCTTTACTTTTCTCCTAAACCCCCACCTACCCCAGACTTGGGTCTGGAGCTGAAGGATCAAAGGCTGAGTTTATTCCATACTGAGCAAGTGACTGTTGCTTAGGAAGGGTACGAAGACCAAAACCTAAGGTCCAAAAAACGCCTCAGGAGCCTGGGTGCCTGCCCCGGCTCTAACTGGTACCTCAGCTTTCAAGATGCTTTTAGATATACTCTCAATGCATGTCATTGCCACAGTTGCCATAAGTCTGGGAATATGAGGTGAGATCCATTCTGAGGGCCAGGAATCCAAGACCCAGAAAGTGCACCTAAGGCAGGAGGTAAAGCGCCCCACCCCAGCCCTGGCCCCGCTCTCTATGCAGAGCCACCAGGTAGCACTGTATGGGGCTCTGAGTCAGAAACAGGAGGCTCCTGGAGGTTATTCTGGTCCTCTGATCTCAACCACATGGCACAGTTCTCCCCACCCCCATTTCTCTAATGCTCTGCCTCTTTGCCTAGGCCCTAGGGCATATGCATCACCTGAGGGGCTTGTTGAAATGCAGGTTCTGGTCCAGTAGATCCGGGGTAGGGCCCAGGACTCTGCATGTCTAGCCAGTTCCCAGGGGTTGTCCATGCAGCTGGCCTATGGCCTACACTTATGAGTTGCGAGGCCTCAGGGTCTGGGTCTCTTGTGTAAAGTGGCAGGGAGGGCAGCCTCAGCTCTAAGCCTCTCTCCAAGCCTGTCTCCTGGCCTTTGGAGAACTGCATCCGGGATTCAAATGACCAAGAAAAGAGGAGTTAGAGAATGAAAGGGGGCCTGAGGCCTCCCCAGTGCAGGAAGAAACTTGTTCAAGATCTCACAGCATTTCAACCGTGATTGAAAAATTAAATTATTAAAAAAAAACACAAAAAAGATCTCACAGCATTTCATTGACAAAGTTCCGGCACAGGCTTCCTACACGGGAAAAACAAAAACTAGAAAAAATACTGAGGTGTTTACTGTGCTTTCTCTGGGTGAGCTATGGGTTCCTTTGACATTTTTCCTTTCTAACTTTAAAAAAATAAATGCATGTGTGCCAATTTTGTATTTTAAAAAATTAATTTTAATAAAAGAAAGTTCTCACAAGGTTCTTAGTAAATGAGATGATGTATGAATGTGCTGAGTAAACTGTAACTACATACCGCTGCTTCATGTCATGGGCGTTTAGTTCAGTTCTAATCGCCCGAATTCATTTCAACAGTTACCCTGACTCTTCTGGGCACACGAATCGCCAGGATGAGGAGGATTCACCAGCAATCGCCCTGAGCAGCTTGCTGCTCCCCTCACCTCTGCTGTCTGAATTGGAGTCTTTCCCCTTAAACGGGAAGAAGGTGCCCTAATCCGTTTTCGGGTAAACGACCTCGGGCCAATTCTGCTTTTGTTGCTGGTTTCCTGAGCTTAATTGCAAGCAAAGTTAATTTGAAAGAAAATAAATGTTACAGCTCTGGGGCGAATTCTAACGAGCCTTGGGCAATTAGGTAAGAACGCATCTAATTGCCCAGGGCCTGGGGCCGCCTGCACACAACGCTGGGGTGCAGGGCTCAGAGAGGGGCTTCATAACAGGAAGAAGAAAAAGTAGAGAGAAATGCACCTCCCGTCTCTGAGCCCCCAGAAGGGGAACCGGGAGGTCCTGGTCCACGGTTTGGGGGCGTTCTTGGAGTTGGAATTTCCAAAATACTGCAATGAAATGTTCTCAAGAGCCTACAGTCACGCGGAGGGTCTGCCCGCGCTGCATACCACCGCGGAAGCCGGAGTGGGCGCTCGCTCGCTCGCCTGCGCTGCAGCGTCGGTTCCAGCCCGGCCCGCCCCCGTGGCACCTGAGCTTTGGGTGTCGGCAGCCGGTGGGAGGCCGAGAGGACTGATGCTCTGTCGAAGCCTCGATCCCAACCCTCGTGGGGCCCCTTGTTCTCCCCGTGACACCACGCTCCCTCCTCGCCGCCTCCTCTGGGCACAGGCCCTGGCTTTGGCACTCTCACCTGTGGTCCTGGTTGACAAGGAGCGTGGGGGGGGGGGGGGATGGACACGAAGGCGCGGGCACTTTACACTCCATCTTTCTCCTTCCCGGGCTTTATGGTGATGCTCCAGGTAAGGTGGGGATGAGGTGGCGCTTTTTTATTTTAAAGCCTTTCCTCCCTCCTGTGCCTCGTACTTGTTTACAAAGAGTTTTTTCACTTCTAGTGTCTTGTTCAACTTCAGGAGGACTCTGCGAGGTAGGGGTCACCCATTCCCGTTCACAATGAGGACAATGGCTTAAGGTTATTGGCGCTGTCAAATCACTTGACTTGGTAATTAAACAAACAAACAAAAAACAGAGGAAGGGTACACTCCCGTACCAACGGGGCGCTTAGACCATCCTTTCCCAGCCCCAATCCCCTGCTGGGCTGTTACCAGCCAAGGACAAAACCCCTGGGTGGAGGGCTCTCAATTTCCAGGGCTTCCAAGGAAGCAAGGCTTCCCGCCTTCTGCGGAGGAGAGCCAGCGGTCTGGCTGTGCATGGGGAGCCTTTGAATCTCATACCAGCACCGGTCCACATGGAGATGACGACCAACCCCTAGAATTTTCCAAGTTCAAAAGGCTGGGACTTGAACCCAGACTCGCGGACAGCAGGGTCAGTGCTCCTGCCACCTTCTGCCTCCAGGTGGTCGTTTAGCGCCACCAAAGTCAGGATGGCCAGCATCTAGACATTCCCTGTCCAGCGCAGTAGTCATCAGCCACACACTCCTATTGAGCCCGGGGCAGGTGGCTGGTCCAAATTTAGATGAGCTAAAACTGTAAAACACACTCCAGAGAGTATTTTGGAGACTTAGTATGAAAAAAAAACTTCTCAACAATATTTATATTGATTATATGTTGAAATGATAGTTTGGACATATTGGGTTAAATACAAAATATTATTAGTTAATCTCACTTGTTTCTTTTTATTTTATTAATGTGACTACTAGAAAAACTTAAATTACACATGGATCTTGCGTTCTATTTCTATTGGACAACACTGAATTAGACAAATACCCGCCTGGAATGAATCACATGCACATGCATGTGAGCAGGACAGCGCCATCCCCCAAATTAAAAATAAAAAGTACCAGTGGTTTTCAGTCTTCTTTTTCACATACCCACCACCCTTCCCTACCAAGTTAACTACGCACAGAGAGGCCGAGTTTCTCTTGCCAGAACTCACTTGCTCAAAGATTTTTATTAAAACGGTTCATCTGAACACTCGGGTTTATCCGAAAGCTGCACCCGAGCCTCTACCATATTTAACGTTGGACATGTTTACTCCAGAATAGAAACTTACAAGATTTCTCAAGAGGAAGGTGGGAAAGTTGTTGGATTTTCTACTTTTGGTTAGCTTGCTTCTTAAAACAGACAAACGGATACAAAACAAAAATTTTAAAAATCTAGTTTCTTTCTAAAGCTTACTTCAACGACCACCTCAGTTACTTTTTCACTTTCCTTTTTGCACAGGGAGAGGGTGGCAGAGGGTGCCAGGGGCCAGGGATGGAACAGCCAACCCCATACACTGAAAGCGTCACTAATGGGCTCCCCTGAATCCTTGTCACCCCTTTGAACTTCAGTTCATCCCCTGGGTCCAGGGCTGCTTGTGAAAAGGAAGAGTGGATGGAGCGTGGACAAACGTATTTCTACCTGCTTCACTGGAAAACTACATCTAGGACCCAGAGGAAACAGCTGCCTAATAATCAGCACATCATGCTCAAAAGATTCAAGAAATTATGATATAATGACTGCCTGGAGCGAATCCAGAGACTTTAGATTAGCTGCTTGCCATGAGCTCTGTTCCAATTCCCTGGAATAGGGCTAGTTTAGGCCCTGGGTGGCCCACGGATGCTGCCAAATATGCAGGCCAGCATCCACGGGGATCGGGCCCTTGCAGATCATATGAACGCTGCAGCCCTCTTGTGTAACAGCCGGGAGACTCGGGTATGGGTGACGGTACTCGGTCACACTGTGGAGCTGAGGCACAGTCCAGGCTCCGCAGTATCTGCTATTCTCAGAGGCAGGGAAAACCAGCGGCAGGCCCGGCAAAGCAGAGCGATTTCTCCAATTGAAAACAAAAGAAAACAAAACTACCTCTTTTGCACAGTTGTCTTCCTCACCTTAACAAGGAAGGCGCTATTGGAGCCTTTTATTGCAGTAACACAGTTAAAGGCATCAGAGGCGGAACCCGTGTCAAAAGGCCCGTTTCCCCTGCATACAGGGAAGAGTGAAGGCATGTGATTCGGATCCTAGAGTCTGGTGTAGACACTACACTGCGCCCCCTGAAAGGCATGCCTTTAGGCGCGTCACCTGATTGAGGGTCCTTTGTCCCAGTCCGCGAGCTGAGCTGCCTCTCCCAACTTCCTCCCATGAGCAAAGTGAACCGAGTGTGTACGCGATGCACTCGGAGGCCGACTCTCCTGTCCACGTCTCTTCTCTGTAGCTCTCAATTCGGCCCTCTCTCCAGGCCTGTCCTTAGTCTTGGGGAGACTTTGCGTAAACAGCCGAGGCATCTATGCATTTTTTCCACCGTATGCTCGGCTCACATGGCGGACACGAAACGATCCACCCCGCCAGGATAGGCGGCCACATGGCGAGCATGGTAGGCGCCTGCACTGCCCCCTCCGAGCTGCCCACCGGGGTTGTAGCAGGGCCCCAGCGCTCCGAACTGACCGGGCGACGTGCGCCCATAAAAGTCCACGGCGGTCTCGACGCCGCCGCCGCTGCCACCTGCGGGGGGCGAGGCTGGCCCAGCCAACCGGCCAGCAGCCGCAAAGAGGGAGCTGCTGGCCCCTTGCGGGTAGGCGCCGTCCGGGCCCGCGTAGGCGGCCGCATAGGCGGAGGGGTTGACAGGTCGGGCTCCCGCGCAGCCGGCGGGCTGGTAGCCGGTGGCTGTGGCCGAGGGGCCGGCCGCGGCAAAGGCGCAGGAGCCCGCGGGGCCCGACGGCGCGGGACCCAGCTCGGGGCTGAGCGGCCGCTCAGGCACCAGCCCGAAGACGCGGCACGGGCCTGGCGACGCAGCCGGGTAGTAGACCGGGGGCGGCGCGGCGAGCGACGGCGGGGCATAGCCCGCATAGACGGCGCCCGGGTACGGCGGGCGCGCGGCGGGCACGGCGCCCGGGAAGATGGCGGCGGCGGCGGCGGCGGCGGCAGCGGCGGCGGCGGCGGCGGCGTCGTGCATGTAGGCCGGGTAGGTGGAGAGGTCCGAGCGCTTGAAGCGCTTGCGGCGGCGCAGGAAGCTGCCGCTCTCGAACATGTCCTCGGCGTTGGGGTCGAGCGCCCAGTAGTTGCCCTTGCCCGGGCGGCCGGCCTCGCGCGGGATCTTGAGGAAGCAGTCGTTGAGCGTGAGGTTGTGGCGGATGCTGTTCTGCCACTTCTTGGGGTTGTCGCGGTAGAAGGGGAACCGCTCGGTGATGAACTTGTAGATGCCACCGAGCGTCAGGCGGCGCTCCGGCGCGTGCGCGATGGCCATGGCGATGAGCGCGATGTAGCTGTAAGGCGGCTTCCCGCGCTGCAGGGGGCGCTTCCGCCGCCGCCCGCCCGAGCCGCGGCCCGCCGCCTCCACCGGGACCCCGGCCCCCGCCTCACCGCGTTCCTCCTTCACGGTGGCCAGCGCCTCCGGCTGCGGCGGCGGCGGCCCGCTCTCGGCTGTCATGGTGCAGCCGTCGCGTCCCCGCCGCGCGCTTCCGTCGAGGGGCGGGGGCGGGTCTGAGAACCGCAGGCCCGGCGCGCAGGGTCCCGGGAAGGACGCCGGGCTCCTCGGTTGAGAGCTCCCGCGGTCCGCGCGGGCTGGCGCCGGAGCACGAGTTCCCCGGCGAGGGCGCGCTGGAGGCTGGGCACCCGCAGCGTTCCGGCTGCCTCGGTGCAGACGGAGGGGCGTGTCCTGCCCACTGACGGCTCTGCCCGTGTTCGGGGGCGCGAGGCCAGGCGCCGGCAGCGGCGTTGGGACTGGGACTAGCTGAGCGGTCCTTTGGCGCCGGTGCCAGGCAGTCAGCGGGTCTGGCAGGAGTCCGGGGGCCGAGGCGCCTGCACCGGTCTGGGCTTCCCGCTGATCAGAGGATAACCGTCGAGGTCGTGCTGCGGCCCGAAGGCCAGAAGGGCAACGAGTGAGGGCGTGTGCACTCTGGTGGGGTCGCTGGGCCGCGCCCCGGAGGCCCTGGCTGCGGACGGCGAAGAGGGCCAGGAGGCGAGGCGCGGGCCTCGAGGTCTTGGCGCGGGGCAGGCGGGGCGGCCGGCGACTCCCTCTCCGCAGACTTGGCCTCCACCGCCGACACCGCAGGAGAGGCTCTGCCCTGCACAAACCCGGACCGGCTCCTCCCTCCACCGACTCCTTCTCCTTAAAGGCGCCAGGAAGCTTAGGGCGGCGCCCGCTCCCCGCCCGCCCCCCGACTGCCCGCCCCCTGGGCCCGGGCGCACCTCTCCAGGTAGGAGCAGCTGTGGCGGAGGGCGGGCGCCCCAAACATCAGAGCGGGGAGGGTGCTGGGAGATCCCCCGGCCGGCCTCCTCTGCACGCCGCAGCCGACGGGGAGACTGAGGCCAGGGGAGGCCAGGGACTGTCTTGGGGATCTCGGCGCCCGAACTCAGCGCTTCCGGACGTTTCCAGCCTCTGTAGGGCGCTGGGACCCACAGGTGAAAGAAAGGGTTTGCTTTCCTTTTTGTCCACCGAGGGTGAGAACTGGCCAGGACGGTGCTGATTCTTGTTGGGTGGGGGGCTGGGAAGGGAGAAGACTTTCCAGGTGACTGGCTCCCAAGGTCTTTCAAGGATGATTTGCAAACCCCATTCAAGACTGGCTGGCCCGTTCCTCCTCCAGTCCCGCATCTTCCAGAGGAGGGTTCCCGGACCCGGTAGGGGAGGTGACTTGCCATAGCCCCGCGTGGTGTTGCTGCTGGGGGAACCTCACACCGTGTCTGTGCGGACTGCGCTGGAGACAGCCACTTTCTCTTTGGGTCGAGGACTCCCCCACGGTGGGGAGGGTTTGCGTCTTTAGATTCCTTCTATTGCCGATATTACGGGGATATTAAGGGAAAGGCCGCCCGAGACCTGCAGTCATGTCTTTGGGTGACTCTACCCCTCTCTTGTATGTATGATGGCGAGTGGCGCGCAGCTTAGAGGATGAAGGCTGGGCTTCTGCCCTCTCGCGGCCACAGGACTCCAAGTGACTCCCAAGACCTAGGGGGCGGCCGAACCGCCCCTTCCTCAGCGGGGAGTGAGGGCTGCCAGAGGTGATGGCCGCGGGGGTGCTCGGCATGGGCGCGTCTCCCGAGGAAGGGGCGGGCTGATGGGACCCTTTTGCTTCGCCGGTGTCTGGTTTCCTGATGCGCCCCCCGCGCCCCCCCCCCCCCTTCGCAAAGGCGAGCCTCAGGCCTCTCCAGAGACTCCCTGCGGCGGCAGCCCCGCCGGCCAGGGTTTGCTGCTCGGCCTTTCCGCAAAAAAGACCTTAGGGATGTCCCTTCCTCGAAATCAGGACCTTAATTTTCTGCTCTGTGAATAGAGGGCACGTTCAGAGCTCGGAGGTCTCTTCGATCCTTAGGACTCCCGGGCTTTGGTGCCAAATCCAGAGGCTTTTGCCCGGAGGCAGCTTTCTGCAGGGCCGCGGGTGCAGGGTGGGGCATAGCCTTTGGGAGTTTTAGTCTTCTTCGCGGGCGGAGAGCTGGGGGCAGGCTCAGCCCCGCCAAGCATTGGGCAACAATCTTTGGAAGAAAGGCAGAGAACCTCCTAGGTCCTTGCTTTGCCAACTCGGGATGTGGAAGCGATTGCACGATTTGCAGGAGGACCTATTTCTGTGGATAGGAGTTAGCATGACTGGAGTGGGGCTTTTCACTGCCCAACAAAACCCCCAGCTTCCTTCTTCCAAAGTAACACGGACACGAAAATCCAGGTTTAATCAAAGGGGAGAAAAACAGTTAAAATATTTTTTTTTATTTTAACCGGATTACATTATATCAATCTTACAATACTTGATTTTGTGGTTCCAAGATTCTAGAATAAAATCTTTAAATTTAAAATTTTGGATCACTATCCTAACGTAATTCCAAAAATCAAAGAATTCACATTCTGTAATTCTAAGGTTTCATGACCAGAAGTCTAAATTCTTTGACTGTAACTATATTCCTGTGATTTTAAGCTTCTGGTCAAAGTGTAAAAGCATATTCCTCGTATTTTAAGATTCTGGGACTAAGATTTTTGTGCCTGAAAATATGATATCACTTCTCGAGATTTTCGATATGTTTGCAGCTCTAAGGTGGTATATATTACTTCATTTGAATTTCTGTCTAGGAATGTCTAATTGGAAAATTTGGCTCCTCTTAATGCACAACTAGCATTAAGCCTGAAATGCTAGTACTGGTCCACTATTCTTTAACTCAAAGAATCTAATTCTAATAATTATTGTAATATTCATGACCATTGACTTTGGTTGGTCATGACTTTTATTTGGTTACATGAGTTTATGATTCTGTACTTTAAGCTCCAATGGCTAAAGTTAGAAGCCTTCATGTCTCATGATTTCTTGATCCTCAAGGTTTCTTGTCAGTGGACACATTCTTCTAGAATTCCAATTCCTCTTTCTCAAACTTTGCTGTGACCAAGCAGACCAAGAGTTAGCATTCCAAGATTAGCAATCCCAAGATTCTAAGATTTTCATGAGCAAAAGATCCTAAAGAGTCTAGTGCATGAATGTTTTATTCTAACGAATTATTTCAAATTTCTGTACTTTGAAGAGTCTATGAATTCACGATGTAAAATTTGAATTGAAAGATTTGATGAGTGAACGGTGACAGTTTACCCGTTTGGATCAAAACTATACAAAAAGATCCCCTCGGTGCCTGGGCATTTCCTTGCTTTCTTCTGGTCAAATCTGCCCCTCTTCTCCGGGAGGTGCTACTTAATGTTTTGTAGGGGTAACAGACCCCATTGAGAACCATTTGAAAGCTACGGTTTAGGTTCCAGTCCTTTGGAAATCATTCTCCTTGGTCAGCAGGGGTATGTTGGCATTGGTGGGTGATCTGCATCTGCTTTGTGTTTGCCTTCAGTCCTGTGGGTATCCCCAGCACCCTTTGGAAAACCCTGCTGCCCTGAAGGATAATTTAATATGTAATTTTTGTGTGTGTGTGAGGTTGGGGTATGTGTGTGTGTGTGTGTGTGTGTGTGTGGATGCTGGTGCTCTGTAGATGCCGCTGGCAGCTTTCTCCCTATGACTTCTTTGAAGTGCCCTGAAGGATTTGTAAATATAAAGGAGGAGATCCAAGGAGTCGTGGAAAATTCCTCCCTATCCCTTGACCCACCCAGGTGCCCTTCATGCAGATTCAGAAGTAACCAGCTCTTCTCCTTAAGGAAATCTTGGACATTTGAGCTGGAAGGACCCAGGCCCAGATTGGCAAGGGGCTGGCTTAGAGTGGTGCAGGGAGGGTTCAGCACTGAAAGGGAAACTTAGATATTGGGGCTCCTTACCTCCCGGTGGGCAGCCTCTCCCTTTTTCCCAAGTTCTCAGAGCCTCACTTGTGCTTCATGGTCTGGCCTGGCCACCTGCCTTACCCTTACCTTACCGGTGGCAATGGAACCTCCTGGCCCCATTGCGTGCAAATCAGATCCAAGAATCTCGATGCAGTGGCAACACAGTGACTGGGTTACTCTGCGTCCGTCACTCAGGGTCAGAGCGGTATGGCCTCAGAGAGCAGCAGAGCAACACCCTGCCATGCAGGGGGTCCCCTGTCCAGCTCTGCCGCTGCCCGAGGGCCAGGATTGCAGCAGCAGGGTGGGATGAGAGCTCCGATTCTAGCTAGTTCATTATCGATCCGGAGGCCTGAGCCTTCCGCTGCCCTTCTTAGGCCTCAGTCTCCCGTCTGTTAAGTGGGGGGATTCACAACCTGTCGACCCTCTTCCAGGGAGTCCAGAGGATGAGGTGGGGCACATCGCTGACCCGAGATCGTTTTCTTCGTCTTTTAAATTCTTTACAGGGCGAACTCGGATGTGAGAAAAGACAAGCTGGGGAAAATTCAAGCCGTACCCACCCTTGGGCAGAGATGAGATGCCGCTGCCTGGAAGAAGTAGCACTTGATTAAAGTAAAATGTTTCTGCGGCCTGGTGGGGGTGGGGTGGGGTGGGTTTGCTTCGGGTGCTTTCTCGCCGTTGGTTCATTTAAATACTGTGAAGAGAGAATTATCATCTCCCGGGGATCAGATGGAGGGACTGAGGCCAAGAGAGGGGAGCCTTCTGCTCCCCACAACCAGCCTCTGGGTTCGCCTGGAGGAAGCACCTCGCGTTTCTCTCCACTCCCAATGTCTGCGAGTCCTCGGCGCGGGGAGCGGGAGTTTACGAGCCGGCGGGGAGCTCAGCGACGGCGGCGAAAAGGGCAGCCAGACTTGAACTTGTCCGACCGCGCGCAGAGAGTCAGGGACCCCAGGGGAGCCTGAGCGGGGGCGGGACCTTGCCCCCTCTCCCAGGTGACTCCCCCAGGTGACTATCTCAGGCGCCCAGGGAGCCTTCCAGAGCCGCGGACCGCGGAGCAGATCGAGCCCGGCCACCGGGTGGGAGAGAGCTCGGCGTTGGCGATGGCCGGGGCGGGTGGAGGTGGCGGTGGGCAGGCACAAGTCCGTTAAATTCCGGGACCGTGGGTGCAAAAGCAGCCCCTGGGATCGTCCAACGTCCGGGTTTTTTGAGTTTGCTGAGCTCTTTGCACAGGTTTGGGACTCTGAGAAGCCTGGCATTTTCACGGAAGATTGTGGAGGGTCATTTTGGGCGATAGAGCTCAGGGTTTGTAGGCTATCTCAAAGGGGAAATGCCTAGCCTGGATTCCAGTTCAACCACCTGAGACAGCAATACAGGTCTGCGTGGACCCCGGCCTCTGATTGGGACCTTTGACTCCTCCAGCCTGTACGGCAGCCGTCAGAGCAGCTCCCCCTGCAACGCAGTCTAGGTTCCCGGGTGCGGGTGGAAGGGGGTGAGTTCCGTGAGAGCTAGCCAGGTGCCTCAGGCATTCCCCACCCTTCAAGACCCCGGCTGGGTGGGCTGCTTGCTTAGCCCCCAGGGCGTTAGGCCCAGAGTCAGAAGACACTTGCACCCCGACGCACCCACAGGAGGGCTAGGCACTCAGCTCTTTTCTGGCCCCCTTCCTTCGGTTTTTATGGGGGGTGAGGGGGGTCTCTCTCTGTCTCAAGGCTATGTGTCCTTCTCGGGCTCACTGTTGGTCTTTTGGCCTCAGTGTGTGAATCGGCTTGTGCATATCCTCCCTTTCTGGGCTCTTCTCCCCAGTCACTCCTGAAGAGAGCCTGCAGGTGTGAAGGGAGCCAGCTCCCTTATCAGCTTCTTCCCTC